GATAAGTTATATTTTTTTAAGAACTGTTCCAGAATTAGAACAAAGTTATTAGTTTTAGGCTTTCGGGTCTTTGGAACACTTGTTTTAATAGTCATGATAATATAACCAGATCGTAAGTGCTACCTAGTTATATTAATATGTTTATTTTTCAATTCAAAAAAATATTCCCGATAATTTACTATATGATCCCTTCCCAAAGGGGAACCCATTCATGGTCGGTGAGATCAGATAGGCGAAAAAATATATAACTTATGACCTAGCTAAAAAGGGTATTTTATTGATTTGAAATCTGCAGGTAGATATAATATGCGAAAAAAATATATAGTCATGGGACCTCCATCCCAAGGCTATGAATAGTCTAATACCCCAAAATGGGATGATAATACTTAGTAAAATGTTCGTGCTAAAGCTAAAATATGCTCTGGTTCTAAAGCATTTGTCTTGGTGAATGCATCATATAAAGCACCAGGTCTATATTTTGATAGAATTAAATTCGGGTGATAGAGGAGTTTTATAAGCATGTCGCTCCTCCAAGCTTTTGTCTCTTCATGCTCCCAAGTTATCCCTATTAATGTAGACAAGCTATCACTGGAATAATTCATTTGGATTAAATTCTGAAGTGAGGATCGTTTATTTTTTTCTAGAGTAAATAGACTTACTCCTCCTATTACAGTGGATTCTACACTAATAGGAAACCTTTTACGAATATCTGATCTACTAGCTAGAATAGATAAAGGTGGAATTAGGGCTGGGTGGTAAAAGTTGGCCAAGGGGTCTAATTCGAATTCATCAGCATACATAGTCCCAATATCATCTAAATAATCCGAAAGCCTATCAGCGTATCCGTAACCTTCTTGAATCAGCTTCTGTAATAACTTTCCATTTGGATTGACCCATCGGCCAGTTAGTATATTGAGTACCGTTCTTTGCATTATATCTATAGCGTAAGTATGAAAAGATAGTTTATCTCATTATGATATCAATTAATTTAAATATATGTTTTATTATAAAATTAAAAGTGAAAGAGGGTTTTATATCCTAAAATACTTTTGTTTTAGCACCTTTGACTATGGCTTACCTTACTTGCGCATATATCAAAAGGAACGGCACTGTTTGTGGAAATAAATGCTGGCTCCCTATAGGGTGTTATAGACATTCGAAATTATATGAAAAGAATATGAAAAAAAGACCCTGCACTGTTAGTGGTTGTGGATTTCCTACTGATGCTGATTCGGGGTATTGCTCCAATCACTCTGCTAAGATTCATTCACATAATTACCGGATGAGGCAAAAATATAAAGCTGAGGCTCTTCAACTTGCAAAGACTTCTGAATTATCTACCGAGGAGTGACCGAAAGAAGTAAAAATATGAAGGCTTCTGCGGAATCTATTATATAAATATTGGCAGAAGCCTTCATCTCAAAGTATGTATTCACTTTGCTTTTACAACAGATATGCCTACGCAATATCAAATAAGTCTTGAATATCTTTCACAATTGGTATAGTATTCACATTAGAACTGGAAGTATCTTTGGTTTGTTTTTTCTCCAAAAGATTTTCCATTAATAATTCATTAAGTGAAAGTTTACTATACTCATACCGAGTATCTTCACCATTTTCCCAATAAATTTCTTCTCCTGTTTGGCATGGGAGTAACTCAGGAGCATCTTTTTTATCAAAAGATTTAACTAGATGATAATGTCTATTATTTTTATCTATTGCTTTGAGCTTCAATCTATATGTTGTGTGTAATACTGAATTCAGTAAACCAAGTTTCGCCCGATCTGTTTTTAATCCTGATTTTTTGGCTCTGTGTAATATATCTGTATTATCAAAAACTCGAGCCATTTTGGAAACCAAATCCTGAAGAAATGATATTGATTCAGGAGTATTCAAACACCTTTTGATATCATCAGTTTTATGTCTTACTCTATCATCAATGTCTCTAGCTGATGTACAATTCCTTAGTAATTCCAGGCAAATTCGATGTCTTTCAGCTTAGGTGGCAGTTATAAGTCTATCTTCTCTGTAATCTTTATGAGTGATAGCCTTGACAGCTGTTTCATTGTCAGCACCAGCATCTCGTAACTGCCTATAAGCTCTGAACCATTTCATATGATTATAATTCTCATACTTTGAAATGAATTCCTCGGTCAATGATTCAAGTGAAATCTTATAACAATCTGCAATATGATGACGGTCTAAAGAGCGTATCTCTTCTAAAGTCTTCTTTGGTTTGTTTTCCAAAAATTCAGCAGTCTCATGATTAACAATAGTAGCATTAGTTATTGCTCTGCTTTAATGATAGAAGAACTCACCTTCACTGTTTGAGATAATGATATTGTATTATCTTCAGGTTTAGGAATAGGTTCTACAATCGAAACACACATGTCAGCTTTTCGAAGGAAATCAATCATTCTCCAACCAAATAAATGATAAGATCGAAATTTTTCTAACATATAAGCCACCCATAATCAAATAGTTGATACGTCCTTATTCCGGATTATAGAGTTTATATCTGGAAATATTCCTCTATTTTGAAGTTCTCGGGGAAGACATTCACGTTTGGCATTCAAAAACTAATGAAATAATCCTTTTTCTGTAATGGGAACATTAGACGATCTTTGTTTGATATGACATATGTAATCTTTGATGCATCGCATATGAAATAACATCTGATTTGTTCCAGCGTTCGTTTCTATATAACTGTTAAAGATGCAGAATGCTCGTTCAACTTAGGATTGGTGCAAGATACTCCTATCTTTAGAGTACTAGTATAGGCAACTAGGTCTACGTCTTTCCATGATTCTTCTACATTGCTGAAGTCATGAGCCTTTTCCACTGGATCAGACTTGCCGTGATATTTCTTGATCCGTAATTCTGGAAAATTAGTATTAAGTGCACGAATAATTCCTTGCACATCCTTTCTGAGGTGGCAGATGAGTGATGCACTAGTTCGATTCTCAAAAGGTAATGAAGACATCTGCTTGGCCCAATCCCAAAGTTCGGTTAATACAGTTTTTTTATTAGGAGCCAAGCGGAATGTCTTACCTTTTTGGGGTTGATAAGTATTATGGATAATAGAGAATGGTTTATCCTTACGAAGAGCCTTAATCCATTCGATATTTAGATCAGTTAGGTCATTATCCATAACAATAATACGCCTTGCCTCTTGGATTAATTT